GAGAATTGAAATTATCAAGTCTGAGGAACAGAAAGAAAAATATTAAAGAAAACTAAACAGAGCCTAAGGGACCTGTGGGACTTACCAAGCAGACTAAGATCTATTTTATGGGAGTAATAAAAGGAGAAGAGAAAGAGAGAAGGATAGAGACAGAATATTTGAAGAAATAATGGCTGGAACATTCTCAAACTTGATAAAAAAACATGAGCATAGACATCTAGGAAGTTCACCAAATTCCAAGAACTCAAAGAGACCCACTCACTTTAGAACCAAAGACACAGATAGGTTATAAGTGAAAGGATGGAAAAAGACATTCCATGCAAATAGTAACTGAAAGAAAGCGGGGTAGCTATGCTAAAATAATACAAAATAGACTTAAAAAAAAACTTTAAAAGGGACAAAGAAGGATATCATATACATGTGTATTAATAAAAGGCTCGGTACAGCAAGAAGGTACAATTACAAATATTTATGTATCTGATAATGAGACCATTAAAATATATGTTAAAGGCTCGGCGCCTATAGCTCAAGCGGCTAAGGCGCCAGCCACGTACACCTAAGGTGGCGGGTTCGAATCCCCAGCCCGGACCCGCCAAACTACAATGACGGCTGCAACCAAAAAATAGCCGGGCGTTGTGGCGGGCGCCTGTGGTCCCAGCTACTTGGGAGGCGGAGGCAGGAGACTCGCTTGAGCCCAAGAGTTGGAGGTTGCTGTGAGCTGTAATGCCACGGCACTCTACCCAGGGGGACAGCTTGAGGCTCTGTCTCAAAAAAAAAAAAAAAAATATATATGTTAAAAAATGTACAGAATTATAGGGAGAAATAAATAATTCTACAATAAGTTAGAAACTTTTAGTATCCCCCTCTCAATAATGGTTAGAAAAGCTAAACAAAAGGCAAGTAAGGAAACTTAATGTAATAAGTTAACTAGCTCTAACAGATATGTACAGAACACTCTGCTCAGCTACACTAGCATATACATTTTTCTGAAATGCACATGGGCCAATTATCAGGAGAGACCATATATTAGACTCCCCTAGGCTATAGACTGGTACCAGTCCATAGCATGTCAGGACGGGGCCGCGCAGCCAGAGGTAAGCAGTAAGCTAGCAAGCAAAGCTCCATCTGTATTTACAGTTGCTCCCCATCACTGCCTGAGCTCCACCTCCTGTCAAATCTTCCCCCCTGCCTTCCATAGGAAAATTGTATTCCATGAAACTGGTCCTTGATGTCAAAAAAGTTGGGGAGCTTTGTGTTAGGCAACAAATTAAGTCTCAATAGCTTTTTATTTTTACTTATTTATTTTTGAGACAGTCTGACTTTATCGCCCTCAGTAGACTGTCGTGGCATCATAGTTCACAGCAACTTCAAACTCTTAGGCTCAAGTGATCCTCTTGCCTCAGCCTTCCAAGTAACTGAAACTACAGGTGCCTGCCACAACACCCAGCTTTTTTAGAGACAGAGTCTCAGTCTTGCTCAGGCTGGTTCCGAACTCCTGAGCTCGAGGAATCCACCCGCCTCAGCCTCCTAAAGTGCTAGGATTACAGGTGTGAGCCACTGTGCCTGACCCTTCAATAGACTAAAAATATCACACAAAGTATCTTCTTATTGCAACTAAAAGATAAAGTGAAAATAACAAAAGAGAAACTGGAAAACTCACAAATTTGCGTAAACAACACCCTCTTTAGTCAATGAAGAAATAAAGAAATTCAAAAATACTTAGAGATAAATGACAATGAAAAATATACCAAAATTTATGAGATGTAACCAATTTGGTGCAGAGGGGGAAATTTATAGCTTTTAAATGCATACATTAAAAGAATAAAGTGGGCTTGGTGCCTGTAGCACGGTGGTTATAGCGTTGGCCACACCCAGCCCGAGCCAACTAAATAGCAATGATAACTGCAGCAACAACAACAATAACAAAAATAGCCAGGTATGTGGCGGGCGCCTGTAGTCCCAGCTACTTGAGAGGCTGAGGCAAGAGAATCGCTTAAGACCAAGAGTTTAAGGTTTCTGTGAGCTGTGACACCACGACACTCTATCGAGGGTGACGTAGTGAGACTCTCAAAAGAACATAAAATAAGAAAAGTGGCTGGGCACTGTGGCTCACGCCTGTAATCCTAGCATTGGGAGGCCAAGCTCCCATTGGGAGGGTGGATTGCCTGAGCTCACAGGTTTAAGACCAGCCTGAGCCAGAGTGAGGGCTTGCCTCTAAAAAAATAGCCAGGCATTGTGGCAGGCACCTGTAGTCCCAGGTACTCAGGAGGCTGAGGCAAGAGAATCCTTGAGCTAAAGAGTTTGAGGTTGCTGCGAGCTGTGATACCACAGGGCTCTACCAAGGGCAACAAAGTGAGATTCTGTCTCAAAAAAATAAAATAAAATAGAAGAATAAGAAAAGCCTCTGAAATTAGCAACCTCAACCTAACTGTACAACTTAAGGAACTAGAAAAGGAAGAAAAATTAAACCCAAAGGTAACAGAAGGAAGGAAATAAAGATAACAGAGGTAAACAAAATAGAGACTGGAAAACAATAGAGGAAGTTAATGAAAGCAAAAATGGATTTTTGGAAAGATCAACAAAATTGACAAACTTTTAGCCAGATGGACTAAGAAAAAATGAGAGGCTGGGTGTGATGGCTCATGCCTCTAATTCTGACACTTTGGGAGACTGAGGTGGGAGGCCTCAGTTCTAAACCAGCCTGGGCAACACAGCAAGACCCCATCTCTTAAAAAAATTAGCCAAGCATGATAAGAACCTGTAATCCTAGGTACTGGGGAAGCTGAAGTGGAAGGACCACTTGAGACCAGAAGTTTGAGGCTGCAGTGAACTATAATTGCATCACTACACTCTAGCCTAGGTGACAGAAACCCTATCTCTAAGGGAGAAGAGGGAACACACTGACAAAAAAAAAACCCTGGGCATAATGGCTTCACCAATGGAGTCAATCAAATGTTTTAAAGAAAAACTAATGCTATTTCTTCTCAAACTTCCGAACGGTTGAATAGGAGAGAACACTTCTTAACTCATCCTATGAGGCCAGAATTAGACTGCTACTAAAGTGAGACACAAGAAAAGAAAATCACACACCAAATCCATCATGAACATTGATGCAAAATGCTGAACACTGATGTAAAAAATGAAGAAAATAGTAGCAAACAAAAATTAAAAGAAGAATAATATACCATGACCTAAGTAGAATATATTTCTGTAATGTGAGTATAATCTAACATATGAAAGTGAGTCAACCTAATCCATCACTTTAACAGAAAGAAAGAAAAAAAACCATAGGTGATTCAGAAAACCATTTAATGGAATTCAATACCCTTTTATGATTAAAAAAAAAAAACTCAAGAAACTGAGGGTAGAAGAAAACAACCTCAATATAATAAAAGCCATACATGAAAAACTCAGTGGACAATCATTCAATAATGAAAGACTGAAAAATTTTACTCTTAAGATTAAGAACAAAGCAAAAATGCCTCCTTTTTCAGTTCTATTCAATCCATTGCTAAAAGTTTTAGCCAGAACAGTTAGGTAAGAAAAAGAAATAAAGGCATCTAAATTGGAAAGGAAGAAGCATAAATATCTGTTTGCAGGTAATATGATCTCATAATGTAGAAAATCTTAAAGATTCCACCAAAAAAAAAAAATTGGTGTTTTTTTTTTTTTTCTTTTTTAGACAGAATCTCACTTTGTCACCCTTGGTAGAGTGCTGTGGCATCACAGCTCACAGCTACCTCAAACTCTTGGGCTACAAGTGATTCTCTTGCCTCAGCCTCCTCACTAACTGGGACTACAGGTGCCTGCCACAACACTTGACTATTTTTAGAGACAAGGTCTTGATCTGGCTCAGGCTGGTCTCAAACTCCTGGGTTCACTGATCCTCCAGTTTCAGCCTCCGAAGTAGCTAGGACTACATGTAGGTATCCACCACAATGACTGGCTCATTTTTCTATTTTCTTGCTCAGGCTGTTGTCAAATTCCTCAGAGTAAGCATTCTTCTCCCCTCACCCTCCCAGAGTGCTAGGATTACAGGCATAAGCTGCCAGGCCCAACTGAGTTTGAATTTTACAAGATTAAATGAATCCCAGAGATGTATGGTACCCATGGTTTCTTAACATTTTGAATGTATTAAATACCCCTTAAGTGTACAATTAAAAATGGTTAAAATGGTAATTTTATGTGTATTTTAACATAATAGAAAATTATGGAATGGGGACTCAAGAAATGAAAAGAGGGGTTTTTTAAAAAAATTTAATTTTTTGGCTCGGCGCCTATAGCTCAACCGGCTAAGG